TTTAAAGGCTCTTTGGCTTTGAAATGGAGATGAACACCGCCCCTAGAGTCTGGAACGACTAGCACATATTTGCAAGGGGAACCTTTACCTTTAGCACGCTTTAGCAGAGCTGTTCTGGACATTAATTTGCCACCTTAAAAAAAATGAAGCGTGAGTGGCATTTTAAACTGAGAGTGGCCTTGATAATGGTGTTTGTCGTAGTAAAACTGATCAGTGCTAACATTTTAAGTATTTGGTTAGAGCCTTTAAATCTGTCTTCATTGTTTTAGACCAGGGGTGTCAAACTGGTAGTCCGTGGACTGGATGTGTCATACAATGCCCACCCCAGCTCCATGAAGAGGAAAAAAGTCACATGTCGGCAATGTGATGCCGTGAGTTTGAAACCCTAGTTTTAGACTCTTGAGTGCCTTTTGCTCTTGGTCTCCCTCTTCAATTACCTCTCTTTTGAATCTGTTGTCCCTCTAGAGATGCTGAAGAAGATGATACAATTGTAACTTTAAATCGGCAGAAATCTAGAATTTTGTCCATTCCCTCTGGTGGTTTGATAAATTCTGGAGCCCGTTAAAAATAACAACAAAATATAGTCTGCTAAATTATTTTGGGATTTTGTAAATGTTTTCAAGAATGCTAACCCTTCTAAGGTGACAAGATCTAGGACTAAATACACATAGGAGAGAATGTTCTTTTTAAATTAATCAATTTAATCTGTATTAAAGTTTAGAGGATGACTTCAGGACTCTTGAATGAAAAATATCAAAAGATTGTTCATATTTACACCATTCATCCACTTTTCTTTCAACAGAAATTTCAGGTGCCTGCAAAGGAAACATGTATTGCTTGCAAGAAGACTGTATATCCAATGGAGCGTCTCTTTGCCAACCAGCAAGTCTACCACATTAGCTGTTTCCGCTGTTCTTACTGCAATAGCAAACTCACGTAAGCCTCAAACAAAATAAAAGTAGTTTACTATATACATTTAATGTTCTAATGTGCTTTATGGTAGGTAACGAGTTTAGTATAGTAGAGCTACACCAAAATATGAACTGAGTAGTCTTTGGATGGTCGCAAGAAGTTCAAGGGCTATAATAATTTGGGGGCAGTTATACATGCTCACAAGGAAGTAGTCATCTATATATATATATATATATNCTAGATTTGCCATAGCTTTCCTCCCCAGGAGCAAGCGCCTTTTAATTTCTTGGCTGCAGTCCCCATCTGTGGGGAGCCCAGGAAAATAAAATCTGTCACTGCCTCCATTTCTTCCTCATCTATTTGCCAGGAATTGAGAGGGCTGAATGTCATGAGCTTTCACTAATTATTTAGTTCAGAAAAATACCTACTTTGCCTTCTGAAATCTAATTCTGGAAACATTGCCAGTCTTCTGTATAATCAGAAGTAAAACTGCCTAAATCACCCCACAACTGATTGTTCTGTAGTCTGAACCCTTTAAGAATTTTGCATGCGCTTAAAACAGATTAGACTGCGTTCTCCTTGCTTGCATAATGGTTGATCGTTTCTGTTTTAGAAAAAATAAAACTAAATGGATTTTGCCATAGAGTAGTTCTTAACTTCCATTTAATATTTGTTCAAATTTAGCTTTAGCTATTTAGCTGACTGAATCTGATCAAGCAAAGTTCAGAAATGCTTCCAGGTATTACTTCCCATTGAAACATTGAACTACAAAATAATAGAATATGTTAACAGTTTCAAAATAAATAATTGATCCCAGAGGCTAAAAAGTAGATAAGTTTTAACTTACTCCAATTTAGAGTATATAATCTGTTATGGAATTTGCTTAATCTTAGGAAAGGATGCGGCAGCTTTAAAAAGTTCAGTTGATATGTAGACTACAAAGCATAAAAGTGTCTCTTAATTATTTCCAATATATTGTTGCTAGCCAATAATCCTTGAAAGACAGTTTTTCTGCAGTGTTGCTAATGGATCTATATAGTCCTTTATTAACTACCTCTTCTCTATCTGAATAATATCTTTTGTTGATTTTTAAGTTTGAATTATACCTCTATGTTATTTGTTTTTGTTTTGCTGCTTTTCAATTTCCTCTCCTCAGAAAAATACTTAGTTTATTTTATGTGGTAGGAAAATATTCAGTCAAACCAATAACTTACCAGTCATTTACAATCCAAGTTCTGAATTACTTAATTAGCTTCATTTATGGGCAAAACATTTATGCACCTTGCAGCTCATAAAACACAATGTTTTTGCGCACTACATTTAATAAGTTAACTTTTTAATACTAGGATTTGTCTGTGGACACTTCAACACAGGCTCTTAGCACCACTGCAAAACCAGACCATCATTTAGGTACAGCTGTCACATTGACTAATTTCTAACTCAGCTGCAGTATATCCAGTATCACATAGAAATATTATTTATTTTTGCTTTGCAAAAGTTGTGGGTAGTCATTTTTCCTCCAGAAATTCTTTCCTCACTGGATCCTAGGTGTCATGTAGCATTCTGTTCATAAGTCCTTGAAATTGAATGTGGCCTAACAGCTTCAAAAGTCTCCTCTCACAGCAAGCATCCAGAGTTTTCCTTTTTTTCTTTTTTCATTCGGGGTGGGGGCCATATGATCAGACAGGTGCTCATCGCTCTTCAACTGCAGCAGTGTTGATTGCTTGGCAGATTTGGTGAAACCGGGGAGTGGAAATGGGACTGTGGCAGAGCCTTGTATTCCTTAGTTTTGAGGAAAAGTACCTAATATGACTCCTTTTGTTCTAGCTGGGTGTAACTTCCAGAAAGAGATTGGAATTGCAAAACCTGTCTATGCCAAACAACAAAGTCCTAATTCTAGAGCATCTTCTCAGTCTGACAACTCTCCTCCCAAAGCAGTGAAGGTACAATGGGTGTATTTTTTTCATTAATGGGCAATGTAGGGGAAAAAAATCAAAAATGTAAATTAGTTGGTAATTGTACATTATTGCCTGCGTTTCCTTTTGTAGTCATGCTGTTTTTTGACTTCCAAATTTTATTAAGTTACCCTTTTCCACATTAGGCCATGAAAGTATATTACATTGTAGTTCTGTGAATTTGTAAAAATATATTTACTTATTCCTTCGTTAGATTTATGTCTTGCCTTTTTTCCCCATTAACCCAGTTTTTCCTCTAACAATTCTTGGGGACAGTCAGTTGAGAAAAAGTGACCAAGTGGGTATCCCTAACACTACTCTACCACCTTAACTGTGATTTCATGTTGACTCTCAGGACCTCTCAACAAAAGCTGTTTTGAAAAATTGTACTTTTAGTATAGTGGTTTCGGTATAATATGATTTAATTTTTTATTCAACATACAGAATGCATTCAAAAACAAGCAACACAGATATGTTGATATACAAGTGAACAATGATATGTACATGTATGTACATAAAAATGAAAAAAGAAAACATATACAGGCCTAGAAAGAGCTAGTTATTTAGAAACTCATCTCAGGATTGGCTTATCAGTATAATTCTGCTTTGGAGTCCCTAAGCTTGTTACGTTTCTGTATTTAACATACCTGCATGAATATATGTTTTCTAAAAATACAAAATGCTTCAAACTTTCTTTAGCCATGAGGAAGTCCAGTTGCTGACGTATCATAAGTTCGTCTGTGAATATTGGTGACATTTGTGAAATAATGAAGACAAGTGTCAACCTATCTATATTTCCCTCTAAATTTTAATCACAATAGACTAAATTCTATTCTCAACTGGGCCTGTTAAAGGGGTAGAAAGAAGCTTACTTTACATGGTATGTTTTTTCAGTCATAGAAATGTTTATGGAAACCAGAACGTTTGACATTTGATTTGAGCCAAGGTGGCGCAGTGGTTAAATGCAGCACTGCAGGCTACTGCTAGATCAGCAGGTCAGCGGTTCAAATCTCACCGGCTCAGGGTTGACTCAGCCTTCCATCCTTCCGAGGTGGGTAAAATGAGGACCCAGATTGTTGGGGGCAATATGCTGACTCTCTGTAAACCGCTTAGAGAGGCCTGAAAGGCCTATGAAGCGGTCTATAAGTCTACTGCTATTGCTATTGCTATTGCTATTTCTGTTTACCACTAATTTGAGGGAGGAGGTGTCAGCTTTTTGACTAAAATAGGAAATTGTGCAGTATTGTTAATGATTTCATTGATATGCCCATGGAGTTTTTCCTGGACAGTTGTGTGTGAAATATGTTATACTGTAGTAGAGGGGTGTTAAATTTAAAGCCTGGGAGCTGGATTCGGTCCATGGGATGCTTAGATCTGGCCTGTGGGGCTGCCCTGGAAACAGTGACGGACTCGCCCGTGGTGCCTCTGCCAGTGAAAATGGAGCTCGGGAGGGTGGCCTCCCTCAGTTCCATTTTCACTGGGAGAGAGTTCCAGGAGGCTGTCGTAGCCAAAAATGAAGCACGGGAGCCCATTTTCTCTGGCAGAGTGCTCAGGTCACCACAAGTGCCCCCAACACAAGTGATGTTGAGCTGGCCATACCCACCCCAGCCCCTCAAGGTCAAACACAACCCTGATGTGCCCTCAATGAAATCGACTTTGACACCCCTGCTGTAGTATATATGCTGTTACCCTTTGTTTTAGCTCTTTTTTCCATAAAGGAATTCCATAAAGGAATTTCTTAATGGCTGAGCCTACTTTAATAGCTTTATAATAAAATATTATTCACTGGAGGAACCACCTAGTATACTTTCCAACAAGTCCATATACGTTTATAAATAGTCATTTGTCTTTTTCAGCTTCTGTTTCCTGCTCCTGGTTTCTAATCTCTATTCCTGTCTTCTGCTTCCTTTTTAACGTGAACTCATCTCTCAGCTTTCCTGCGTCCTCTCCTCTTTTTATTAACTGGACTTCATGGTTCTACTGTAGTTGCTCTTCATAACATGCTTGAAAAGGAATATACTTCTGCACACCCCAAACGTTTCTCCCATGTAAGTTGGAAAGGGGAATACACATTGCTGCAACTGATGTCATTTATTGCAAGTGCCCTGTTCCCAGAGCAAGCTGCAAAAGGCGGAGTTTTAATATTCAAATTTATTTCCTGGATTCTTGAGAAGCATCTATCATCCGCACTATTAGGGGAATTCCATGACACTATAGCTTCCCTGATCATTATAATAAAAATGTTTCATTGTGTGCAACATTTCAGAAAACATTTTCTATGGAACACAAAACCACCTTTGTGCTTTTTTGACACCCATTTCCAAAATCTGTGGGTAGCTAATCCATGTATAAAGCAACGTTAGGCATTTAAACCAACTGAAATCTTAATATGCTTTAGGTACAATATTATTAATTATCAACGTTGCTTGAGTGGTTTACCTAGCAGCACATCTCTTTCTGCCCAGCTGTGTCCTCTCTCTTTGTTTAATTTGTGCCACCCAGTCAGTTTTCACTTTTATTTAGACATTTTTATAGCAATTATAAGATACAGGAAGAGTTTTGATACATTAGAATACGTTCATCATTTCTGTCTGTTGAAGCACTAATCCCAGAAGTATGAAATTATTTCAGATAACTTACTATAAGAATCAATTGTTTGACAATTGATTTTGAAGGTAGAGTATGTGATAAAAAGTTCACCTAATTGCTCAGGTAAATTCACTGAAGTTACAATCAGTCATAAAAAGGAAGCAGAGCTTTGATCGCACTACAGGTAGCCATCAACTTACGACCATTTATTTAACAACAGTTTGAAGTTACGGTGGTGCTGAAAAAGTCACTTACAACCCATTCTTGCACTTATGACTGTTGCCCTGGGAGTGACAATAAAAATTCTAGCACTTGGCAACCAACATTTACAACAGTTGCAGTGTCCTGGAGTCATGTGGTCATTTGCAAGCTTCCCAGCCAGCTTCTGACAAACAGAGTAAATGGGAGAAGCTGGTTTGCTCAACAATTGCATGATTCATTTAACAATCACAGTGATTTACTTAACAGTCGTGATCAAAAAATGCCATAAAATTGCACGACTTACTTAACAACTGCCTTGCTTAGTAATGAAAATTTTGATCCCAATTGTGGTTGTAAGTTGGAGGCTGCCTGTGTTATGGCTGCCATCGTGACTTTTTGACCGTAGCCTGTAGATACCCTTGAGCTTCCCTAACTCCTTGCGCTCCTTCAACTTTGTGTATGCTTTCTCATGCATTTTCTGCTTGGGTGAAGGCAGAGCCCCCAGGCTTGAGCACTGGAGAAGGGGAACAATCCTACATGCTTCAACCATAAGCCAGCTCTGAGTGATGCTGATTGACTAGTTCTAGCATGCTTTTATGGGACACGGTGGCTCAGTGGCTAAGACGCTGAGCTTGTTCATCACAAAGATCAGCAGTTCGAATCCCTAGCACTGTGTAGCAGAGTGAGCTCCCATTACTTATCCCAGCTTCTGCCAACCTAGCAGTTCGAAAGCATGTAAAAATGTAAGTAGAAGAATAGGAACCACCTTTGGTGGGAAGGTAACAGCGCTCCATGCGCGTTCGGCATTTAGTCATGCCAGCTACATGACCATGGAGACGTCTTTGGACAGCGCTGGCTCTTTGGCTTTGAAATGGAGATGAACACCGCCCCTAGAGTCTGGAACGACTAGCACATATTTGCAAG